AAGGGGATAAAATAGGGTTCAAATGGAACAATTTTTATAAAAAATATTCTTTTCTACCAGAATCGCAAGGTCATGTTAGTTAAATTTTCATTCTTATATCGATACGATTGAAATAAAAGATATCACAGAGTCTGAAACATCGTTCTCAAATTTAGTTTACTTGGGAAAGACGTAAAAGACAATCTAACAAACAAGATTTATGATAAACGTGAAGACTTTAACTTTTCAATTGTCAACTTCCCTTACTTATGAAGCAATAATAGTATATCTTCATCAGCTGCATACCTGGTTTATAGAATTATCTCAGTTGATTCAGGATGCTCGACGTACGAACAATTTTTAAAGCGAGCTAAATTATTGACTAACAAGTTGCTGAAACAAGAATATCAACAGTCTCCTTTAAAGTCATCATTCCATAAGTTCTACGGTCGATACAATGACCTACTACTAATTGTTAGGCCATCAGGACAAGGAGCACACAGCGGGTGTGACTGGTTCATAGTAAACGCTCACTCTTCCTTAGCACCTGATCCCACCTCTGATATTTTGATGTGTTAGAGATCCGTGTTTGTTTTATAATATCTTTGTTTAATTTGAATTGGATTATATGTTAGTACATGTACCGCCAATCATGAAGGTCTACTAAAGTTAGGTCAGGATTGCAATAAATGACTGTCATGTGCTTTTATACTGTTTATTTAAATCGTGGGCAAGTGATTTCTCAAAAATAAAATCAATATGTAAGCCATAGATTTAAAGCTGGTCATAGTGACTTGCATGATCTTATTATATATTTATAAATACAGTATTTTAGTTTATGGCAGGGCAAGCAAAAATTGAGTAAGGCAAGTGTCTATGTTTTCCCAACTAATCTAAATCATACTAATTTTTGAACGCCTAAATCTAAAGTGAATGTCAAAATCCTCCCACCAAGTGTTGTAGACTGGGGTCCCTAGCCTTATTGAACTGATATACTTTATAATGCCTTGAACAAATTAATTTCTCCATCTTTAAACACAAGCAGTCGCTTAATTTCATCAGCTCGATCTAACTGCATTATAATTTCATCAGCTGGATCTAACTGATACACGTATTAACTTAGCAAGATCTACATGCTCATTAAATTTAATATTCCAATTTTTTTTCTTGTTGTAAGGGTATGCAGGGATTTATTAGAACCTTCTCGTAGGCTGAAATTTGGCCCCATTCCCAATAGAAAATGAGCTCAGTTTTTCATTTAATTTGGCAGTTTTATTCCCAATTGGTAAACAATGCTTTTACATTTATCTTGGAAAAGCATGAAGTAAAATGTGTCTGTAATATACCGGTATATATATTCAACTCATTTAACAAAGTTACAGTCACAATACATGTTTAAAAACATTGCAAAAACATCGTCAGCTTTTAATCCGAATTTCCTTGTTTTTTCTATAAATGGTGATATTGTGTAATTATACCAGATTTATAAAATTATTAAGCCGAGGGTCTTGCTACACGTGCAGGGGGTCTGGCCTAAAGCCATTTCATCTTGCATCTCCTTCAGGAACCCACCACTAATAAGTCAATAATATCGTGCTCATTTTCTTGCAAATACATGTAATTATAAAACAGACAGAATTTTTCTTATTACATGTACTTATTATAGATAGTTTTCGATTGATCTAAATTTAGCAAGAGTTACTTCCCGTTGGCCGCCATACTGGAGGTGCAAATGCTCATATTCCTTCATTGCTCAACCAATTTTAAATTTTTATATTTGCGATTTTGAATTAGGAATCATTATTTTTCTGAAGTAAATAAATTTTTGGAAGCCTCCTTTATTTAAAAAAAATATTTTACAACGATTTTCCACCAAATATTTCTGCTATATATTCTTAAACTTGGTAAGACAAAGAGGAAAACTCACCGAGTCGACCTCCAATATGGCGGCCAACGGGAGGTAACTTTTGCTAAAATTAGGCCCATCGAAAACTATCTATTGATACACTGTATTTAAACATGCATTCATTTAATCAAGTATTGAAAGTAAAATATAAAACATAAATTAATATGATTACTTTATGCTATTTTCATACTTAAATTTCTTCGATTGATAAAATACTTGCCGATAACACTTGATTTTTTCTTAGCACCAGTGATTTCGTCTGCACGGAACAAGATGGGAAGTTGAAAAGACCAAGCACATGCGCATCAAAGCTCAAGTATTATTGACCCTAGAACCGTAATGATAGAACAGCATTATTCCGGAAAACGGTTTGCACTTTGTAGGTATTTATAATCTCAAAAAAGAAAGCGATAAGCGTCATTCTGAATCTCAATAACTGTATTTATCTTTTAAGGATAAATCTGATTATTATTGATACGTCGTTAAATATATGAATATCGAGTTCAAGACCACAGCATGTGATTTTTTCTTCTCTTGTATGTTTTATTGAATAATTTTTTATTAGAATAAAAAATAGGTCTGTCAATAACTGGGCGCAATGTAGGTAAAGTCTAGGGGTAGTCAATGCCATACGAGCTATCAGATTTCTGTCAGATCACCTGTTACCACCATCATGTTTCTACATTTTCAAAACATATGATATATATTTACTGAGTCTGTTACCCCCCCCCCCCCCGTGGCTAAAAAATTGTGTTCAATAGGACATCTACAGTCAGGAGTTGGCTAATAGCAATATAACCTTAGTTAAATGAGAAGTTCATTTATTAGTCTTTTAAGTAGATACAACGTTAAACTTCACAATCTTAAAACAAAGTCTATGGTAAGATGAATCGAAGTAACGCTCATACTGAGGTATATAGCATATACAATTGTCAAAACACTTGATATGCAAAAAATATTAATCTTTTCATCGCAAAAGTGGCAATTTTTTTCGCTCCAGTGGGAGCACTGCAGAGATTAGCATTTACAGGGAAGTATAAAGAAAGAAATTTCAAGATCGAGTGGGAAGACCAAACTCAATTGTTTAAGAAATAAACAACGTTATTCAGTGAACATGGCGTTATGAATAGCAATTGCTCTGCTGGCATATTCCATGATGCGCGCTAGCGCATCATGGAAAATATGCCAGCAGAGCTATTGCTATTCATAATGCCATGTTCACTGAATAATCGTTGTTTATTACTTATATTTGCATTCTTTGAGTTTTTCAAGAATATCAGAGGAAATCCTGACTTACATAAGGACGCAGCTTCTTGTCTTTAGTAATGAAAAACATTCGGCTTTAAAATCACTACACCTGATCAATGATAATAAATCACAAACAATTTATTAAGTATTTCCCTCTCAAACACAGCAGTTATCTGGATACAAGCAGCGCCGTCATCACATTCTCTTAATTTTTGTTTTGATGCAGTTGTGACATTTAAATCTAGATGATGAAAAATGAGAATGTTTTTATAATGGTTATTACTCCAGAATGCTTTTCTATAATTTTTTTTTTCACTTTTTCTATTTATTTTTAATAGCTGAAATCATTCTTGAAGTAGATATACTAGTTAAATTTTCTCTTTCTGAATGTTACAACCCAAGTGTGAAGAGTTATCGTTCTTTGTACAAATATGCATGATACGAAAAAATAAAAATATAGCCGTTCTATAAATTTTTAAAAAGTTTTATTATACAATTAAATATATTGACCAAAATTAAATTTTTAAAGATATGAATCAGCAATTTTAAATATTCTGAATTTCCTTTTTTTCAAAGAATATTATTAAAAACTTATTTTTATTCCTCTCATGAGACATTTCATATATATACTTCTCAACAAAGAATAGAATTATAGTAGAGATTTTCTACACGAGTGTGATAGAGCAATTGCACTCATAGCAGAAGCAGTTGCGTCTATAGTGCTATGAATGCAGTTGAAGCCTGCAGGTTCATAGTAGGAGAGAGCAGTGGATATGCAAATATATTTAAATGAACAAGAGGAACTGTGAGCACTGAGCTCACTAAATGATACGCCCTATAATAGCAAAGTCTATGTTTTGTTCTGGGAGACCCGAAGTTAAAATTGGAACAAAAAGTAAAGTAGAAAGTACACAATTGCAATATGTAATAAAGAAGCCATGAAAGTATCATTAAATTTTATTCAGTGGTATAGGAACAGTTGCGGAAGAGAGATGGGTACCCTTCAGTATAGTATAGGGAAAATGGCAGTGTCCATGTTTTGTTATGGGAAACCCAAAATAAGTGTCAGATCAAAAATTAAAATAGAAGGCACACAATGACACTATATAGCAAATATTCTGTGAAGGTGTAATCAAATTTCTTTTAGTAGTATAAGAGGAATTGCAGATAAGAGATGGGTACCCCGAAACGTAACAGACGGACAGACATCTCGATCACTATATATCCTCGCACTTTTCTAGCGGGGGTATAAACACATTAATTCCTTCTTTTGAATCAATTTTATTTTAAAATTACGAGCCTTTGGACTAGGTATGAGCCAAAAGCTTGTGTATATACAGAAAAAATAATTCCTTTCCAAACTGTAGTGCCGTGCTGATGAAAAACGACAGGGCCAAAGTGACTCAGGCGAGTGTTGTGGCCTATAATCCTCTTGTTTTTGAATCTGCCTTATATAATTAAAGAAATTATTTGAGGATTAGATAAATAATTAATTAATTATAAAAAATGATACAACGCCTAAATAATTCAAGATATCAAACCTGTTTTACGTTTTGTTTTTTCCGTTTGAATTTTTCCCAATGTTTTCCCCCCTTTTTACTAACTTGAAAGGAACATAACACTAAATCAATGTTCATACTAGTACGAATTCTTATTTCGCTAATATTTGATTGACAACTGTTTTTTTTTTTTTTTTAATTTTGTGGAAATACAATGACGTCAATCATCCATGTCTTCAACCTTCACCTGCACTTTCAACTAAAATCTCCAAGTCAAAAGAAAAAAAAGTTTTTACCAATAAATAGGTATAAATAAATATTTCTTTAGTTTTTAAAAATTCTTTGGAAAAACCAGATATATGTAGTTAAATGCACAAGAATCATTGAGAGTTAGATGATTCACAATGAAGCAGGTTCTATTGTTGCTTTGTGTTGTTTTAGTTGCATTCACGGTAATAGGAATTACTGACGCAGGTAGGTCGAATATATTAAATATCAGGAAAACTGGAAAAATGAATTCTCAAATCAATGTTTTGGTAGATGTGTGTATTATGTTATGAGTGGACCATATTTTTTCTCTCTCATTTTGATGGATGCAAAGCACACGTGAAAATATTTCTTGAAAATCCTGTCCTACTCATAAATAAAATTCACACATAGTCACAAAACATTGAATTTTCTTTTCCTCTCTTATTTTTTTTCTTATTTTTTATAAATAAATTTTCTTTGGTTTTCTTTCCCTCTAAATGTATTTACTGTCTCTTGATCGAAATTCAAAACAGGATTAAGTTGTGAACCGAGATCTGTTAGAACAATTATATATGTAAAAGGATTGTACAAGTAAGTTTATTCATGTAATTCTAAGACATGAAATGAACTTTTTTTTATGTGAAAATGTGTTTTTGATAGACAGTAGTAGCTCAAATTGTTACTACTTCATTCACAGTGTTAAAATACATAAGCAAAATTTTGTTTAATGGATAAATCAGCAAGTGTTTCAATGTTGCAAATTAAATTTTACACACTTTTGAAAACTTTAAATTGACAGCGTAAGCTTTATTATTTGCACAAATTAAGGTATGTAAAATTTAATTGATTTCAAGTCGGAAGTAATGAAATTAACTGAATACAGACGGTGTAACAAAACTGCAATATTTTCAAACACGAAACTTGTTACAAAAATTCCGTAAAGGATTTCATGTTTCGATGGACAATTTTTTTTTCAAACACAATATGATTTTTTCCTCTAGTCGTACAGTGTAATTAAAGAAAAAATGAAAATTTAAAAAAAAAATCATCAGATCTCATTTCACAGCAGAAATTAATCAGTGTTTAGATTTCACAGTTCCTTCCATATCCCAGCAAAATAAAGTTCTGTACCTTTTGGTAATTTGATTTATCTAATAGAAAAAAATGCTGTCGTTAGTGTGTTGGAGGGTCATGAGTGATCGGTCATTCATAGCAGTCTGACAGAAAATATTCATAAATATGAATAAAATCCTTATTTATTATGCTTGTGAAGTGTATTAGGTCGTATTCATGATTTTGTTTTCTGAAATTAAGGTAAGTTAAAACATACATGTATGTTGGAAACTTAAATCGCATTGTCCAAATAGACAAAATTATATCGCTGTCTTTTGTACTCGTTTATATCGTTACTAAGGTTTTAGTTTAGAATAGTACTGCTTGATGAGAAAAATTGAATAAAAAGGCGTTATCTAAATCCATGATTTTTGTTTTTGTTTTAGTGCCTGCGTTTCTTCCTCCATGTTGTGAATGCTTTAGGCCTCCATGTGACCTCTGCCTTCCCCCTGACCATCCAATCTGTGAGCCATGGGGCTAATGAACAGGTATCAAATCGTCAAGTAGATTATAATCTCTAATAACTATATACATGTATACTATTTATTACTCACTTATTTCGGTTAAATTTAGGTAGGATACATGTAATTGATTACTATCAATAATGTTTACGAAACATTGTAAACGTATGACGTGATTATAATTATTTAAAGTGCTTTTGCACGTTTCAATTTATCTTAATTTTATATACATAGGGAAAAAGCATGCCTAAAGACGAGAAGATGAAAGACAGCAAAGTTGGAAATTTTTCCTAATTGAAATAAATTTCAAATGTGCAAATATAATTTTTTTTTTATTTTAGCAGACACATTCCATTTTCAAAAAAAAAAAAAAAAAAAAAAAAAAAAAAATTCATAACGTGACAGTATTTAACTTCTTTCTTCAGAAGTTACTTGGGATTACAGCACATTGTTTTTAAATAGAGGTATGGTTTCAATAAAGGGCCACGTCTCCTTTGGACTGAGACCAAGCTTAAATTTTTGAAAGCCTGTCCCTTAACAACTATTCATCTAAGACAATGAAAAACTCAGATGACTGTTAAGGCCCTTGGGCCTTTTGTTTTTCAAACTGTAAATACGTGTACTCGGATACGGAAGGGACTAAAACTGGGTATCAAATTAATGGAATAAAATCTTAAGAATATTCTTTTCTACCAAAATAACAGGGTCATGTAAATTATATAATTTATTATAATTGTTCCCTATTTAAATGAATTCAAATATTGTTTAATACATGTACCCTTCTCTTTGGAATAAAGAGGGGTGCCTTGACGGGTCAAATTTTTTCATGGAATTTTGTTAAAACCGTCTTTAGAACAACAGGGCTGATAAGACTCAGGTGAGATTTATGAAAAACATGGAGATAACGAACAGTATTCAAGCTAAATTTAAAGTCCATTAAAAAGTACAAAATTAGAGCTAGGCAAACACGGATCTTCAAAACATCAGAGGTGGGATAGGTGTCACAGAGGAGTGGGCATCCTCTGCCGACCGGTCACATCCGCCGTGTGCTCCTTGTCATGATCGAAAAATAATGGAAAAATCCGTCGACATTTCAGTATGTATATAATTGACTACCAATTAGTATGAAAAAAACGTCAGTCAGCATTTGACTTAATGAAAAAATGAGGTCATTGTATTGACCATAGTACTTACGAAATGATTACTTTAAACAAGACTGCTGATATTCTTGTTTCAACAACTTGTTTGTCAATAATTTAACTTATTTTAGAAATAGTTCATACGTAGAACATGTTCTTGCGTATCATATCAACTGAGATACATATATAATTCCGTATGCAGGTGATGAAGGTATATTGCTGCATAAGCAAGGAAAGTTGACGATAGAAAAGTTTAAAGTCATCACGTTTATCATAGAGCTTGGTTGTTAGATTACCATTAACGTCTTTTTCAAGTAAAATATCCAAATATGAAACAGATTTGTCAGATTCTGTGGTATCTTTTACCTCAAGCTCACCAGGATATATCGTATCGACATAAGAATGAAAATTACAATTGTAAATTGACAATACGTCGTCGATTTATCTAAATGTCGAGTTGAAGGTCACAGCAATTGTTTTTTCTTTTCACTCACAAAATTTTGCACAAATTCTGCTTCATTTGAATGCAAAAACAGGTCTTCTAATTACGGGGCGGAAGAAAATGATTTGACAGAAGCTCCATGTTAATGAAGAACAGCAGGACCAATTGACCCAGGCGAGTGGTGTGGCCAATAAACCTCTAGTTTTAGTATCCTTTGTCCTTATATAATTTAATCAGTTGAAGATGAAATAAATGAATAATTAATTACAAAAATGATACGACAAATAATGAATTCAAGATATCAAATGTGTTTGAGATTTTGTTTTTCCATTTAGATTTTTCCAAATATCCCCCCCCCCTTTTTACCAAGTGTGAAAGGAACATAATAGTAATTTATTTTGTTACTAGTACTGTTTTTTAAATATATGCAAAACGGGGGAAAACATTATACTGATATGAATCATCCGCATATTCAATCTTCGCCAGCACGCTAAACTTTAAACGAAAATTTTCTAAGCCACTCTAAACACGTTTTACCAATAAAAGTAAATAAACGTTTCTTTGTTTTTGATTTTTATTCTATTTCAATTCTCCAGTATGTTTTCTAAAAACCCAGATAAATGCAATTAAATGCACCAGAAACGATAATCATTAAGTTAACTAACTATGAGGCTGATTCTACTGTTGCTTTGTGTTGCTCTTGTTGCATTCGCTGTAATAGTAATAACTGACGCAGGTACGTCAAATTTATTAAATATCATAAAAATTGGAAAATGAATAAGAGATTTTTTTTTTTATTTAGATGTGTATATTATTTTATGAAGGGGATATATTTTTAAATGACTGCAAAATACTCCTGAAAGTATTTTTTCATATTAAAAAAAGTCCTGTCCTACTCAAAAAATAAATAAATAATAGATTGATTGATTGATTGTATACTGTTTAACGTCCCTCCCCAGAATATTTCACTGATATGGAGACGTCACCATTGCCGGTGAAGGGCTGCAAATTTAGGCCTATGCTCGGCTCTTACGGCCTTTGAGCAGGGAGGGATCTTTATCGTGCCACACCTGCTGTGTCTCATCCGAAGGACCGCCCCATTTAGTCGCCTTTTACGACAAGCAAGGGGGTACTGAGGACCTATTCTAACCCGGATCCTCACGGGATTAAATAATAGATAATAGATAAAATTCATATTCAGCCACAAAACTTTGAGTTTTCTTCTTTTATTTTTGTCTTATTATTATTATTTTTATAAAGAAATTTCCTTTGCTTTTCTTTTTACATGAATCTGCCCTCTCCTGATCAAAATTTTACACAACAATTAGTTCTGAAGATAAAGTAATTATATATGTACTGTCTATGGAGATAAAATGACTAAAAAGGTGTTATCAAATCAATGTAATTTATTTTAGTACCTACGAGTATTCCACATTGTTGTGTGTGTATTGCCCCTCCATGTGACATGTGCCTTCCCCCAGGCCATCCATTATGCTATTATGGATAGGGCTCCCGATCAGGCAACAAATCGTCAAATATTCTCTAATATCTATAATTTCATTTTATACTGAAATGCCCAAAATATGACAATTTCAGGAAAGATATATCAAAAACTATTATGCATGTAGTCCAAGTATTTACAAACTAATACAATATTATTGTCAAGCTTACATACAAAGGAAAGGATGACTGCACTTAAGGATATGCGAAAATTGCGTCAAAATAAACTTTCAAAACAGACATTTTTCTTTCAATTACAGAAATTATCAACATCTAATCTACAACTTTACTTAAATACAATAAATAAAAGTATGTATTTACAATGTACGAATCTGTTTTCTGAGGTTGGGGTCAACACCATTTCTTCAATCTCCGTACGATAATGAGGACGCCCACTTTTTTAAATGACTTTATACATAGTCAGCGCATGTTTGTCTATTGTTCTCCTTTTAACAGTAGTTGTATATTTGCATAAGTAATGTTGTGTTAAAAGGAGATTAATAGACAAACATGCGCTCATGGTTAAAAAGAGGAAAAAACTGCTTCTTTTTACACTCGCTCTCTCTCTGTTGTAACCAAGGGCTGTGACACGTTGAATATTATAATTCACCACGTGATATCTTTCCTCAGGTAATTTTGTGAATACTAAATTCCGTCATGTGACTTATTGATAGCTTGTTTTGTGATAACTAGAACAGTGTTCGAACACGTTGAATAGTCAGTCATCGATTTTAAATATTCTTTAATTATATGAATGGGCTCATGCGTTTTAAACCTTTGTAAATACTGTACTTGTGCCATACAGAATAAATAGCAAGATGGAAAATTACGGAAGCCCATTTAGGACCTATCAAAAATATTTTTTGAATTCGATGTAACGAATTGTAGAATTTATTATAACGAATTTAATTCGTTATAACAGTTTCTTTCAATTCGTTATAATGAATTTAATCTGTTATAACAAATTTGGTTAATTCATTTAAACGAATTACAAAATGTGTTAAAAACAAATTGAATTCGTGATAACAAATTCTAAAGTTTGTCATAACAAATTAAATTCGTTTAAACAAATTCTTAAATTTGTTATAACGAATTAAATTCGTTTAATCAAATTCAACAATCATGGTCTATAGAAAAATATATATGAATTCGATATAACGATTTGTCGAATTCGATTTAACGAATTTAATTTGTTATAACGAATTAAAGAATTCATTTAAACGAATTCAATTCGTTATAACAAATTTTAGAATTCGTTAAAACAAGTGTAATTCTTATTAACAAATTTTTGAATTTGTTATAACGATTTCAACAAATTTGTTATAACAGATTTGATTCATTATAACAAATTCAAAGAAATTGTAATACCGGTAACTAATTAAATTCGTTATAACAAATTCAACAATTCGTTATATCGAATTCAAAAATATTTTTTGATATGTCCTAAATGGGCTTCTGTAGAAAATAGAGATCTCGTATTTTTTAAATAATACGATTAGATCCATTCTTACGATGTTAGCTCCTCCTCTCATACATACATAATGTTTAATCAAGGACAGGTAAGTGTAAATTCTCTGTATTCGGAAAACCGTGAGGACAAAAAACATGAAATTAATTATTGTATTACAGTCTAAAATTATTTTAAACATTTAAATTAGGTGTCAAATGGACATATGTATAAAAGTGAAATTAAGCTAACATTTAAAAGCAACAGAAGCGATCGAAAAAGACCCAAAACACAGCGTTAAGTGCAGTCATCCTTTATAATCTTGGAAAACATATATGTAATAAAAATATGTTTTGCATTGTTGGATTTATAAATGATTCATTCATTTACTTAATATGATGTATTATTAATTTTGTTCATGTTAATAATTCTTCTATTGTGAACTGTATGTATAAATTTTTATACGTAAGAGATTTTATGTCTCTTGATTTTAAAATCTTAAATCTGAAATAATTCCGGGTATTACTTCTATAAAGTAAGGTATATGTAATTGCTTTTTACCATCGTAAACGTATTGCGTGTTTTCTATTGAAAATGCTTTTGGTCGCTTTAAGTTATCTAATTTTTTATATATACAGGGAAAAGACAGAACAGAAGATGAAAAAATGAAAGACAACAAGTTTGGAAATTACTCCAAATTGAAATAAATAATTTCAAATATGATTTTTTTATTTGTTATATATTTTAGTAAACATTTTCCATATTTAAAGAAATACTTAACGTGACCGTGTTTAACTTCTTATTCTTTAAACATGAATTCTTATAATTATTTGAGAGAGAGAGAGAGAGAGAGAGAGAGAGAGAGAGAGAGAGAGAGAGAGAGAGAGAGAGAGAGAGAGAGAGAGAGAGGAGAGAGAAATTTAAAATAATAAATTAAACATCTTGATCTTTAAATATTTCAACATTGTTAAATGAAACAAAAAAGTGCATTCTTAAGAACTAGGTTCAAATCACAGCACATTTTATTTACATAAGAATTTTTTTCAATAAAGGGCCACACCTTCTTGGGCCTAAGAACAAGTCTTCATTTTTTTTATGCTTTTTTCCACTTTTGACCATTCATCTACGATAATGAAAATTCCAGCTGAGAATTGAAGCCCTCAAATGGACCTTTTTTCTTTTGTCAAACTGTGGATACTATGATAGGGAAGGGGGATAAATAAGGGTTCAAATGCAATAATGTTTATGAAAAAAATATTCTTTTCTACCAGAATAGCAAAGTCATGTTACTTGTATTTTAATTCTTATATCGATATGATATATCCCGGTGAGATTGAAATAAAAAATACAACAGAGTCTGAAATTAACATAACATCTTTCTCAAATTTAGTTTACTTGGGAAAGATGTTCAAGACAATTTAACAAACAAGCTTTATGATAAACATTATGACTTCAACTTTTCAACTTCCCCTACTTATGCAGCAATAACAGTATACCTTCATCACCTGCATACGGGGTTTATATATCTCATTTGATTTGATACGCAATAGAATGCTCTACGTATGAACAATTTTTAAGACGAGGAAAATTATTGACGAACAAGTTGATGAAACAAGAATCTTGTTTAAAGTAATCATTTGTAAGTTCTATTATTGATACAATGACCTATTACTGATTGTTAGGCCATTATGACAAGGAGTGGGTGTGACTGGTCAGCAAGGAATGCTCACTCCTCCTTAGCACCTGCTCCCACCTCTGATACTAGTATTTTGATGTATCAGAGATCCATGTTTGCTTTGCTCCAAAATTTGTTTTGTTTAATGGACTTTTGAGTTCGAATACTGTTTGCCATCTCTATTTATTTCATTGTGACAAGAAAGACAAATTTGAAATCCCCAGCTCGACCCATTCAAAAGTTTTTGCCAAGGATAAAATTTGATAATTTTTTTTTTCAAAAGTTGGACAAACTCAAAGGTCATCGTAAAAAGGACATATATGTTGGTGTCTAAAGAAATCTCTTTTCACCAAAAAATATTCATATGAGATATGAAAGTCATAGCTTCAATCATTCAAATCCTATAGACAAGGTTAAAGTGTTTGCAAACAAGCAGAGAACAGATGGACGGACAAGGCAAAACTACCGACTCTTTCATTAGGGGGCATAAAAATATTTTTGGTAAATTATTGCAACCTTATCTTTATTTAAAAATGAATTTAAAAGTGTTAAAAGTTTTTTTTAGATTCCAATATAAATGCAACCGACATTAACTTCCAGATATTTGGCTCTTCCCGAGCAATTGTCCACAAATAAATTGTTAGTTGCTTCAAGCTGACAACTCTCCCGGTTATCACAAAGTCTTCTGACGATGTCCACGGTGCTCGACGACAGACAGATAAAATCATTTAACCCTGGTCCGGGACAGATTCTGGGATGCTGTCTACCATAGTTGGCGGAAAATACTGTTAAAACTGCTCCTCGTGTGCAAAAAAGGTTCAAGGTACCGTCCTCACAAACATAAAAACGTTCTCCTCCTGGCAAACAAAGTACATCATGAATAGTATGATAATATTACAAAGTGTTACATGTCCATCATATCATGTTCTTGTGTATACAGCGCTTTAATTCATTTTTAATAATTCAATACTCAAAAGTAATCATTTATGGCCTGTTTTTCAATTCGGACAAACTGATTTTTAATTTCATTATGGAGAAAAAAGTGCACTCTGATATCCCATAACCCTCCTCCCATAGAATTGTGGTATAATTGTTCTAGAGAGCAGTTTATTTAAACAGTAAGCGAAAACAGCTCAGATACAACATAAAATGTAATGAGGTAACATAAAATGATGTAGCATAAAAATGTTATTTGAACTTTTTAAATTATAGTAACAATTATCCAGAATAGTTTGTTGAATTGGAAGAGGGGCTTAACTCACGCTTTGAATCCGCTACAAATTTCAATATTTCTTGGCAAGAGAATACCTTCTTCTAACTTTTAATTTCTTTAAAAGAATTGTACTTGGGAAGCTATGTTTCTTTCTTGTGTGTCTTACCTGTTTGTGGAATTTCACATTCGTAGTCCACATCCAGATATTTATAAGTATCAGGACATGGGTCCCCGAAGATACTATCTGACGCTGAGATAAAGCACTGATTCTGACCCTGACAGGTGCGCCTTACTTCCCGGTAAGCCGTATTAGATAAGCATGGCAGATTCTGTGAGTTTCCGGCGAAACAAACGTAGGGATTGGTCCTGCCGTAGTTAGCGTAGGTAATGTTGATGGACTGGCCCCGGGGACAGGAAAGGGAGAGGGTCTGTCCCTCACATGCTATCTCATTAATAGCTGTCACTTTACAAGAAAAATAAATATATTGAAACAAAAATAGAAACAGTGAAAAGGGGAAAAAATGAAAATATAATAATTTTACGAGTTGTACTTAACCCATCGTCAAAAACCATAACCAAGTTTACGATCCTCTCCCAGTATTTAGCGGACTCCGGACCGTCGCTTGAGACGACATACTTTACCAAAAATCTTCAGAATCAAAAAAGGGCGGGAGGAACATTTCTTTAAATACTAACTGACGTTTTCCATACAAATTGTTAGACCAATATTTACACACGGGATTTTCGACGGATTTTTTCGTTATTTCCTGATCTTGACATGGAGCACACAACGGGTGTGACTGGTCGGTAGGCGATGCTCATGCCCCATGACATCTGATCCACCTCTGATGTCATAGAGGTTCAAGTCTGCTTTGCTCCATTTTTGTAATGTTTAATGGACTTTTAAACTTGAATACTGTTCATTACCCCCACATATTTTAATCGAATAGAAACTGAAGAAATATGTAATACTACGACGCAGTGGTTAGAGCGTCTGTTCTAGAGATGCGAAGTACGGAATTGATCCTTATGTCGCGGGATTGAATCCCACTGTGGGACATGAAGACCAGTCCCTCGGATGAGACCGTATAAACCGAGGTCTCGTGTCACAATACATGTAAGTGTTGGCACAAAAAAGGTCCCTCGTTGCTCAACAGCCCTGTATGCTAAACATAGGACAAAATTTGCAGCTCCCCACCGGCAAGAGGTAGCGTCTCCAAAAAATTCTCAAAAGGGACGTTTAACAACAAACAAAGAAATAAAGCATATAAAGTTGCAGTTTAAATAAAACAATTTTGTGCTTTTGAGTATACAACTGTACTTGTCGTATAAGTACTTTTACATATTCACGATAATTTTCATTTCTTTAACAAAATTACATTTTTATTGTAAATTGTCATTTTCTAGACCTCATTTATCTTACGAATTTAATATATACAGTTTTCTCTCATGGTAAAATTATTTTGAAGTTAACCTACTTTTATCATTGTAATGCACGGTACCTACCTTTTGTATACCCAAACAGGAAAACTAATCCAAGTGCCTTATTTATCATTTTTTTTCTTTTCTTCCGATACTTATTATGGTTTGAACTAATTCTTAATATTTCCATCAATTTATATTTCCAAACTTGCATCAAAAAGACAGGTAATTGAATGTAAAATAAGTGAACAGTAAAATATCTTTGTAATAACTTGTTAACATGATAAAACAGATGCAAACACCAAATTATCATCCTGAGGTTCTTGAGTACAGTCGATGTTAGATCGAACTCTTAGCAATATATCGATGTTTAATTGATCTTTCTATACAAATCAGATTAATCATGTACAAGGAAAAACAGTAAAGACTGTCGATAGAAGGGAAGAAACATCTTAAAGAATATGTTCACAGCAAACTTATTTCAAGAGGCCAATGGCTGAATGTCTGTTGGCAATTACGCAATTTATTAAAATCATCCCCACCAAAAGCACAGACTGAACTGAATTTGGAAATTGATTTTCGAATCGATTTCTCTTGATCCATTATCTAAAAGCGAAGAAAATAATTTCATTTAAACTTTGTGTCATGTTGTAAGTTTTGAATCTTAAACAAAATAACATCATGTATATATTGTATTCACTGCCAACCGGCTAATTCAGAAAGTTTACAAAATGACAGTTAAAGACAAAATGATATTTACAACATAACACCCATTTTACCTATTTCATTTCAAAAACCATTCCTTATATAAACATTTAAATAAATGAAACATTCTCATGTTTCCATAATGCACTCTATTTTGTAAGTGGTATAAAATTGCGATTCATAAATTTATTAATCATACTTTTCCAGACAATAATTATGTAACTTTACTTATATGTAACATTATTGTATCTTGAAATCATACATTGTTAACGTGACTGTCATTCTAGATTTTGGAACTTGCTGTCCACATTTGATTTTACAATGTCGTTAACATATATACATACATTTAGTTTGACCATTTTCAGGATCAAGATGTCTTTTTGGATATAAGAGTTCCAGACAAGTGCTGCATACTCCAGTAGAGGTCTGGTTAGTATTATATATCTCTTTATGGAAAACGAACTGTTGTTTTGGGAGAGAAAGCATGCTCTCTTAAAATTCTCTAAATTTCATTATCGCTCTTACCTTCAGATTCTTGCCATTTGTAAAATCTGTTTTTTTCTAATGAATAAGTATCTTAAGCTCTGGTGTCATCCATGATAGACATTCTTTAGTTTGAGTTTCCTTAATGGGTATACTTTGCGTAATGCTGTCTTTAAGAGCTATAATAATACTTGATCATTTAATATTTTTCCTGAGATGGCCTGTTTTGATAAATTGCAATTGTGCAACATATAACGATTTTTTTTTCATGTGTTGAAAGACTGTTGAGCCTGTGAATTATATACAGAAATGTGAAAATCAATTGAATATTAGATTGAATATATAATTTTCAAATTAGAATATAAAAAGGAAGCGGCAATGGACAACCAATTGATATAGTCGTACATTGAATCAAAGGATTAAATCAAAACTCTGAATACAAAGATATCAATTCTTCTAAAACAAATTCTACAAGCTAAGGGTATTCTATCACTGACTATGAAAAATTTATTATTATGCTTTCATTCTCAGGAAGTGTGGTTTTAAATTCAGTTTAATCACATCTGTATTGAAATATGTAAGGAATGAAACCACAAAGAGTATTTTATTAGTAAGTTTATTAGTTTTGAACGGAAAACATAATAAAGTTTATACATGTGCATGTTAGTGTAAATCCTTTTTCGAACAATTCTTTTAAGAACAACTTGGTAACATCCACATAAATGAAATAATATTTTGGTAATGATCAAAACTTTAACTTTCACAATCATGCTTTATGACAATGGATGGCGTATACAAATGACGTGTACTGTAAAATTACATATTTTCGACGGGTCAAATTTTCGTGGTTTGGGGAAAAATATATTGGTTCATGAGGATTTCATTTCATGGTTGAAGAATTTTTCAGTAGTGATATAGGTGATTGATTGATTGAACGTTGTTTTACGTCCTATCCGAGAATTTTTCGTTCACGTAGAGACGTCACTGTATACCAGTGAAGTACTTCAAATTTTGACATTTTCTCTGCACTCAGGGCCATTGAGCAGTTAGGGATCTTTATCATGCCAACGCCTGCCTGGACACAGGGCCTCTGTTTTTAAGGTCTCATCCAAAGGACCCGCAACTTTCACTTCAAAGTGAATAATTTCATTAAAATAAACAATGGGTTAAAAATATTCCTTGTTGGAACTGCGAACTGTACGTACACATGTACATGTACTGGGTATTATGCTATCATTTTCGTAGAAAGAAAACAAGTCATAATATATTTGCTAAAAGGGATCAGAATTATGGTACATTTTTCTACAAAAATACAAACTTTTACTCAATTTCTCCAAAACAGTTTGGAGAAGTTGAGTGATCTATTATTGCGGTTGGACGTGGCTTATCGTTTATTTGACTGTGTTATAATTTACTGTTGCTATATTATCCGGGTAGTTTTATGACTTATTTAAACAGCGTTAACTTGATAGTAGGGTTTTAGTGCATTGAGGAAGATCAACAATGAGGAACTACAGATGGTATTTTCTAGGGATTTGTTATTTAATTCATTTCTCAAGTAAGTTTAACATCTTTTTCTCTTTTATTAGGAGTTTGAATAAGACTTATTATGTACAATCTCAAAAAAGTTTTAAAGAATATTATAAATACTTGTATTTCTTGAAAAGTTTTACTGTTATTAAAAATGTGTAAACGATTATTTAGCTTCAAGTTCATATCTTTAATCAGGTTTTAATAATATTATTCAGAGAAAGTAAAATGAAAAAAAAAATTAGAAAAGGTTTATCTATATTACTGAGTATGTATTTTCTCATCATCCAAAAAAGATTTTCCTCAGATTGTGTCTGTCTTTCTACGTTATACAAAGAATTCATTCTTATTCATTCAAATCGCTGAAAATTTTTTTTTATTCTTGTATTTCAAATAGACTTACTGTTGAAATATTTTTGTTCATGGTGGACCAATGCTTCTTTTTTTTTTTTTTTTTTTTTTTTTTAAATATAATTACAACTATTGCAAAGGAACTACACACTGTCATTTATGTTTATCTATATATACAACACATAAAAGGGCAAACATCGTAGGTCGTAAACTGTGAAGGTTGCCCATATAAACGTCCACCCTCATGTTTATCTTGGTAACGTATTGCAAACATTTACAACCTCTTACACCATTGAAGGTATCTTTTTATCTGGTAAAATTTTAATAAAGTTCTTGATTATTTAGTTTTACTTTGATCAAAGGTAGTGGCTTTAAATTCTGTGATAAAGTTTGGGTGACATTATATTTTGATAATTTAAACCAAACATTGATTATATCTTGTATCTTAGTTTATTCGAGAGCATCAGGATCCGTTTCTCCTATAGCAGTCTCGACGCATTTGTTAGTGTTGCAAACTACAAAATTTATATCATCTCCCATAATCAATATACACAATCTTTTATACAGGAGGATTGCACTTAACGCTGTGTTTTTGGTCTTTTTCTTTTGTTCTTCCTGTTTTGAACGCTTATTTTCACACATTTCGAAAATCCTGAAGTGCAGTCATCATATCCCTTAATATCAGTTGTAAAAAATATTTTCCACTTAATTTTTTATGCTTAACAAACAAGCATTGTTTCAATATTGCTAGTAAATGATGAATAAATGTATGAGTAAAAAAGGGGGAATCATAAGGCAATTATTTTAAATGATGAAATGTCATAAAATTAAGATGATGACATTAACTTTTCAATTGTCAACCTCCATGAATTATGCAGCAATTAACCCTCCTGACTCGCATCTTGGGCTTATATTTCTCGGTTGATTTGATATGCAATAACATGCTCTACGTATGAACAATTTCTAATACGAGAAGTATGCGAGAAAAAAAATAAGTTGTTAAAACAAGAAAATCAAGTCTCCTTTAAAATAGTCATTTCGTAGATTCTATGGTCGATATAATAACTTTGTAAGCAAATACAATATATCATTAGTTCAAATGATAACTGACGTTTTTATTGTTAGGTCATTCTTTACACACAGATTTTTTAAGTTTGAGCGGTCGACAGGGAATGTTCATTCCTCCATGGCACCTGATCCCACCTCAAATTTTTAGAGGTCCGTGTTTGCTCTGCTCCAATTTGTCTTGTTTAAATGTACTTTTCATTTAGAATACTGTTCATTATCAATATATTTTCATGGAACTCAAAACAAAAAAGAATACTTCAAAAACTACAGTATTTATGTTTTTTAATGAAAATTGATGATACTGGTTGTCCTCCTTACCACTGTTTATAATTTAAATATAAGTAATGAATATTGTATCTTACATATCATTACTAGTTTTTTGGTTTAAGTAATCAACTAACCTAATTGTGATTCTGATTTTTTTTTATTCTTTAAAACAGGTTTCATGCTTTGCAGTACTAAATTCGTTATTGTTTTATTTACAAGTTAGGAAGGAAGACTCACCACTAAAAATCTATGGTTTCTTTACACTTCTTATGATTATCTCAGAGAACTACTGACCTCAAAGCATGGTTTCGTGCACTTTTGCTGGATTTGTATTTTATTGATACAAAGTCTAAATACCTTATACACACTCAGTCTGCAATACGACCAAACAACCATGCAACTTATAATTTTTTACATTACATGAGTGTTTCTTATATGTATAGACGTTGTTCCCTCTTTAACATTATTTCAATTCTTCGGTTTTAGCTGATACAGTATTTTATGTTTTTTATAAGACTAGACAAACTTCAACTCACTCTTATGTATAAAAAAAAACCCAAAAAAACAAAAAAAAAAACATGATTTGGTTTTAACTTCAAACTGGTAATTGCCTGTGTATGTTAAAAAAACTAAACTATATTTTGATCTTTTTCCAACGATTGTGATTTCTAATCAAAAAAATCTGAAAGATGTCGAATAATATCCTTTTACTCCAAACTGTAAACTCAAAACCTAACCCTATATGTTGATTTTTTTCCTATAGAGTAGTGCCTGTCAAATTTAATAGAAAATGTATTTTTTGATTCTAAAGAAAAAAAATTGTTTCGTAATAATTGCGACACAACGAAAAAGAAATAGTTAAGATCTAAACATAATGGGAGGATATAATATAATTATGTATGTTAATATATATTTTTAACAGATGCTCTTTATTGCCACCAATGCGGCGACGGTAAAAGTAATGGAAGTTGTCAGGAAGATTTAGAAGGGATGATGCAGGACCATGTTAAACACAAAAAAACCCGCAATAGCACAGATTTTAAATATCGGAAATCTTGTAAAACTACTGAACAATTCTGCATGATTGAAAGGATTGAAATCAACGGTACAGCATTTTTTGTAATTTTTATTGTATTTTAAGCTGACCAGAAAATGATTGTAATGAATTAAGGGCATCATTAAAAATTATATCATGAACTTCGTATCATAACAAAATGAATACAATTATATTAAAGATAATGAGCAATGATATATAGGTATGAAATGTGTATTTATTACAGGAGTGGTAGTGGCTTATATTCGGGATTGTTCTGATGGTGTGAATTTTTCGATCAATGCAAGCCGATTTCTGAACCTCGAAGCGGAGAAAAATTCGACCACGTGCTCCTACGTGGAAGGGAAATTTTTCGCGTGTCTGTCACTGTGTAAGACAGATCTATGTAACGGACCACAAGGCACGTCCTCCAGTCTGAGGGTTATGACGATGTGGTGGTCGATTATCATAGCATCTATAGTACTAAACCTCCAAACCGTCCTTTAAATACTGTATTTTCACATATTTTCATGGGTGCAAATTTTCGGGGTTTGAGAGAGAATTATTGATAATTGGGTATTTGATTTCTTGGCTGGAGAAGTGTTGCGTAATAATGCATATTAAATCTTACATTTTGTGGTGGTCATGAATTCGAAGGTTTCGAATCTCCATACTTCGAAAACAACGAAAATCAAACCCCACGAAAATGAGTGATTTCACAGTAAGCATTAGAAAAAAGAAATTATATTGTTTGGAAATGAGAAGAGAGAGCAAGAGAGAGAGAGAGAGATTCTCTTCCAAATAAATCAAAACATTTATAATTAACCATTTCAAAGTGTTTAAAAAACTGTAATATAGTCATTTTGATTTTCAAAAGGATCCAATAGGAAATAAAATATCATGAAATCTTTTCATACACCCAATAATGATTTTAAAAGTCATGACACAAATTGTTGGCATGTATATTTTTTCCAAGAGTTAATTTTCTTTTTAATTACATTGTGTACAACTTTATTGAAGGAGAAAGAGCGAATAATACATTCTTTTATTAAGAGTCAGTCCGCGAGAAAACCATGCAGAACTGTCCAAATCGAAGGTTGTCATATCTTAATGAAATTTGGTGGGTAGTTTGACTTTATAATATGTTATTCAAAAATGGCCAAAAAAATTCCCATCATTCAACATGGCAGCCGTAGGCAGCGCCAACTCCTTTTTGCACATTTAAGTACAAGATTTGTGCACTTAAAAAATTCAAGAAAAATGGTAAAATTCACATTTAATTTATTTTACTCAAAATTAAACTTGCATTTCCATTAAGGTATTTTTAAGTAACATAAGACTATGTTCTTTCAAAATTGACATTTATCATAATCAAATATGCAATATATCAAAGAGCAGACAACTCTTGAAAATTGGCATGATGCCAATTTTCAAGAATTGCCAAAAGCATTACAAATTTAATGCCCCAAATCTTCCAAGACCAATCTTTGAAATTAATTTTTTTGATTTTATTGTACAAATATAACTCTAAACATTATCTTTGCAAAATATTGAGCTTGGGATATAATAAATAATTGAGATATGGGGATTTACATATTGCCAATTTTTGAAAAAATTGCTCAAACTCAAATGGGTTACAAAGTCAAATATAGTACTTAAAATTATAAACAATTTATGTTAGATATTGAAACATGTAACAATTTTCTTTGAAATAATAATTAAGATTGAAAAATATTAAAATTTAAAAATTAAATTAAACTAAATTGTCAGAAATTACCCCTAATATGAGGATTAGCATTTTGCCAATTGTTTAGAAATGAAAAAAAGCTTACTTGCAATTTTTAAACAATCATATGAATATTCATGTTCCTTACATTTTGTATTCAGTAAGTTAGTATCTTTTTAATTAATAAAAGGGAAATTACAAGTATTTAAATTCAAACGGACTCTCAGTATCATTCATATAAATTTTGAGACTTGAACATATAAAATTTGAGCCTTCACTAAGTTGTTTGCTTTCTGCCAATTTTAAATTGGTACAATCTTTTAAAAATACTAACAGGAGATGTTATACAAAATACTCCATAAAGGAGTTTAAGAAAATGAAAGATGCTGGAGTTTACTCTTATTCCACTTCCCGAATAAAACAATTGTCTTCTTTTTTCGCTTGGCAAATATTCTTTTCAGGTAAGTTTAATTTACCCCCCCCCCCCTTCAAAATCGTTTCTACGTCACTGCTATGACTGCGATTTTCGTGAATAAGAGATTTTATGAACACGAATAAATCAACTTGAATTAAATAATGGGGGATTGAATTTATGAAATATATATTGTTTATAAATTTGTGTATTTGAAGTGATTTAATCTAAAATAAAAAATATAATACGTTTTTCCGTTCCGTTCTCCGTTCCTCGTTTTAGCAACACCCCTCCAGAACCCTTATAATTTTTCATTATTTTTATCCATTTCAATATTAGTATGTAAATTGTAGGGAGGTTGGGGTGAAACGATTGGGTACTAGATACACTCGTATATTTAATATCCTGACCTTAATCGACTGACACGCCCCCTCCCCCAACTGTTTTCAGTGGATACATGTACATATAAGTGATATAACATTTTAAAAAAAACAATTTATCTCTTTCTGCAATGGTATTAATAATACCTTTATGGTTATTCAGAAAAAAGTATCAAATATTAATTTACAAAGCCTTATACAATTTTATTAATAACGTTTTGAAAATAATTTCGACAAAATTTGATAAGCCCCCCCCCCCCCCCCCAGTTTGAATGAATATGAATCCAGTCTTTTATCATGTTTATCATGTTTATAGCCGGTTTTAAATTTTTACCACTTTGTACTGCAAACTGGCAAAGTTTTGGCTGCAGTAACGACTCATATTTTCTTGGGGGGGGGGGGTAGTGCCCTCCCCTGAATAATTTTGCCAATATTTAACGAGGATGGTCCTATATCGGTGGGGTACCTAAATCGGTGGCATCTCCTTTTGAGCTGATGATTTTTAATAAGAGATCAGTGCCGTATATTCCTTTCTGCTAATGTGTAGGCTTGTGTGAAGCCACATATTGAACCTGAGCTGCAAAGCTTTGGTAGACAAGGGGCTTCCTCTCGATAGGTATTGGGGGGGGGGGGTCAAAGGGACCACTTTTGCAAACTCAGACATCTGCAATTTTAATTTGACCAGTGAAAATAATATTGTACTTATATTACAGTTTATATCGTGATGTGAAGACCACTTAACAAAACTGAGAACTTATCCTTTTATTTGATATCCGCTTAGAAAATATGGAAACTTCCTTACTAAATAATCAACAATTTATATCGTGATGTGAAGACCACTTAACAAAACTGAGAACTTATCCTTTTACTTGATACCCGCTTAGAAAATATGGAAACTTCCTTACTAAATAATCAAAATTCGATCAAAATGTTGACTAAGAAATATAATGCAAGTTATCAATTTCGTTTCCTGCACATATTATGGGATCCTGTTGCTTTTGATTAAATTTTCTGATACAGACTTGATATTAATAACACTTGAACTTTGGCTTAAAAAAATGTCAAGCTAAGGAATACTTTTGTCCTTAAATATAAAGCAAAACTGTAAACATAATCGGTTAGGCATAAAAGTGCGGATTGCAAAGAATACTTTTTTTTCATTTCCAACAAAATAAATTAATAGGTACGATTTATTATCAACTCCCCGCCCCTTTATTCAACCAAAGTTTTACTCTTGAGGAAATGATGTGTAGGCTACAGCCTTTTTGCCTATATGGAATATACGCCACTGGAGATCTGACTTTATCAATATATGAATGTTATGTAACACAGTAGTTTAAAGTACATGTATGTAATGTAAAATTAACAATATTCCTAGGAATGACGGTGTTTGGTTAACTCAAAAACACACTAAATTTATGAAACGTAAACAATTTACATGTAGATTGAAATTACCAATTTTTTTTCATTTGTTGAGAGTATGCAATCGAATACCTGACAGGTTTGTATTCTACTATTCTTTATCATATTTTCTCAACTGATGACAAAACAAGTTGCTGAGACACTAAGAAAACTACGTTCGTTTATATTGAAAATATATGATTTTAGTTAGTCAGTCCTCCATGATTTTCCCCCTCGCTTATTTCATTATTACATGTTTCATATGTGTTTTTCTTTTTTCGTTTCTTTTTCATATTCTAATTATGTATATCATATATTTGTACCTCTGACCTAAATTTATAATAAATATGTTGTAAATATTCTTCATTGTCCTCATGTACCTGAAATGGTTTGAGTGAATAAAATGATCTTGAACTTGAACGGGGGCCAGGTGCCTTAAACAAAATATCAAATGTATATTTTGATTAAAATATTCTGTTATTATTTGATTAAATTTCCTATTCAAATGTACTTCTTAGGAAAAATTTTGTAACTGTTAATTACCATGAAATACATGTAGATTCCCCGAGGACAGAACCCTATAGAAAGCATAGCTACTACATGTATATGACCCAAATAAAAAAAAAAAAACATCTGATGGCCTTTCAATTTTTTTTTTTTACTTTCTATGGAATTCTTGGTAGTTGATAATGTAGAATTGTAGGTTGTGCCCCCTCCCCCACACTGAAATTGCTTCCTATGGGCCTGTTTTGTTTATTCAAGCTAAGTTGTTGTTTCTTTCTTACATTCAAATATCTTAAAATAAGTTTTCCCTCTTTCATAGTGCAATAATGCTCCACAAAAACTCCCTAGGTAAAGAAAAAATAATCATACATGACTTTCTTCTTTCCATATTGACATACCTGTCACTTTTTACCCAATAATACTAAAGAGTTCCAGCAAGGGGAGATAACAATTTAACTTCAGCAAATTGGTAACAAGGGGCTAAAATAAGCAAAAGAAAGTTATATGAAGTATCCAAATCAGTTATTCCTCTTTTAAAAAATATATTAGATTAAGAATCTTCTATTTTTCATTTAAATATCATAGAAATAATCCAAAAATATGGTAAAAGACTGTTATTTAAAATATGTGAAATTGTAGCCAAATATGGTATTTCAAAGTTAATTTAAAACATGTAGATATTATTTCCCAAGCTCAATATTTTAATACAAAGTAGACCTTAGATCATTCTTAAAGTAACAATTAATTTAATTTAATTTCAACCTTGGTCTTGAGAGAAACGAGCATCTAAAAATGGCTAAAAAATCATACTCATTTATTTAGGATCTATAAATAGATGTGTAAAAAATAAAATATTCATTTGAATTCAGTTTTTCCTCATTAATTGTGTTAATTGGACCATGACTTTGAAAATAAAACAAAATTTGAAAATAAACTGATTACAAAAGGTAACTTTTTGACTTGATCAATTTGTATACATTTTCCATTGAATTTTGTGTGATTTTCGACAAATATGCAAATGAGCTGTTACTAAAAATAGGTGCAGGGTTCAACATTTTTTTGTGAATATTCTGACTTCTACCTTTATGTAGAAAATTTTAAGCCACTAAAAACTCCCAAGTTGCAACCTTCCATTTGGACGATTTTTTGAATTTTGCATGGTTTTCTCGCGGACTGGCTCTTACGGACGCGATTGCACGGCGTCACGTGATCACGTCATATGGTGAGTAAAAAAAGAATGTTTGCTGTAACTATTTCCGGAATAAGGAGCGTCATATGTTTGCGCTTGACAAAAGGGATTTATTTTTTTAAAGTAGAGAAAGTATAAGATATTAAAGATTGTTACGATGCACTGAGAGTGTTGGTGAGCGTTGATCATATTTTTTATCTTCGTGCATGTTTTACGATTTGACACGTCTATCTATTGTTTATCTCTGAACATTGAAATCTATTTCATTAAAAATAAATTTGATTTATATCTTGAGGTTTATATCTTCATTTTAAAATTAGAATTTTATTTAAGATTGTTGTTTATCATAGGATCCACATCTATGTATAGATAATTTCCAATAAGAGATTCAGACGGCGTGATTTACTAGATACACATATGTATAAATATTGATGAACGAAGGCGATTTTGATAAACGTATTACGGCGAAGACCACTTATGCCTAGAAGACATATCTTTTTAAAAAAATATCGCAGAGGATTTTGTTTTCTCCTATAAGATCTTTAGCATTTTCAGCAGTAACATCGACCGCGTAAACATTCAATCATCGTCGCACATATATATTGTAAACGATTGTTGTAAAATGTTTTATGCGTCGTATTGAAACACAACACACTTCTGAAAGAATACCAGGGAAGATGTGAACATAAATAAATAAAAGAAACATGTGAACTCATCATGCTTATGGGAATACATTTGAAAACTGTTTGTTTTTTTAATCACATGGACATGAACATAGATGTTTCACTCCAGCATATATCATAAAGCGACGGAAAGTTATTTCAATCAATGATTATTTTTGAATCAAAACAGTAGATCTATAGTTTTGACGTCAATTGTATCATTATGAAGTCACAATGGAGATAGCGCTCATCCATGTACAGGAGAAAATGAAGTGTACTTACTTGAAAAGAATCGGAAGGAAAACTATTTGTAAATGACTAAATGTGAATATTTAGAACAACCAGAATTACTATAATTTGGCCAGTAAGATTATTTATGGATGAATACATTTATTTAAAAAATATATATATATAATGCAGTTACAAGTTTTAGAAAATAACCTCTATTCATTCAATGTGTTTAAATGTCTGAACCCCACCCCCCACCCCGATTCCAGGTCACTAAGAAGAAACATCGCTGAGTGTTCAAAGCATGAAGAATGAGGCCTTTGAGGACTGTGCACTGGTTTATAATATATTATTTATTTATATTGATTATAGTAACAAAATGAATGTTTTGGAAATGAAAAACTGAGTTTGAAAAAAAAATAAAAGTTATTTTCGTGACCACTGTCGGTGATAAGTAAATCATTGTGCTTCACATATACATGTAAAATGAGCATCAGCTGCCAGATTTTCAGAGAAAAAGTATTTATTTATCTATACATATGGCCTTTATTGTCTTTAAACAGATTATGCATATTTAAGGTCCAACAACAAACCATCATATGAAAATCTGTGAAATCTTTTAATATTCTAGGAGGGGGGGGGGGTACTGAAATGCGTGTACCTTCAAAATTAATCTGATTACCTTACTTCATATTTTAACCATAAGTCACTTATAATGACTAGTACAGCATATATAAGTTTTGGGAAAATTCATTGGGTAATTTTTTGTCTAGACGTTAAAAACTGCTATTGAGGTGAAAATATTACTGCAAATTTACAATTAATACTTCCCCAAAAAACAATGGCATTACTACATTTATCAATAGTTTCCGAAACAATTTTTATTTTCAATAAAAGTAAAGCATATTATTAAATATCTGCAAAAAAATATTTAATTTGCTTCAATTTTGTTGCATGTATGGCATTATAAAACATTCACCTCATAAATATCAAAAGATTAAAAAATGGTGGTTACCATGGCAACCATAACTTCCTTATAAGCCTGATGACCATGCTGGATACTTTGATATAATGGTATTATTGACATTAGGAACGTTATATGTAAAAATGAGAAAAATTAATTGGGCAGAATTTTTTCACGGACCCGTGCAATCCTTTCCTTAAAATGTTTTTCTTTTCTTTTTTTTTACATAAGTACTATATATTATTAAACGATATATTTTTTAAAGTTTCATCATCATTGTTGAACTCATAGTTTATCTACATCTATTCTTGGCACTCAGGGCCATTGGGTAGTTAATTTTTTTTTTTTTATTGTGCCGACGCCTACAGTGACACGGAGCCTCTGAGATTAAACATCTATCATTTGAAAGTCCCATGATTTGCGCTTGGAGTACCAAGCGCAGCGAACGCGCATCGAACCCGGGCCTCCCGTTCACAAAGCATAAAAAGGGAGTAGATAATGAGCAGTAGTTGGTCTTCATAAAATTGACAACCATTACAAATATGTGAAAAGGGTGTAAAATACGGACCCTGGAAATTACAGAAGTGGAATCAAGAGAAAGAAGAAGTAAGATACCCCTGTTGAAAAGTCACACTCGATAAATGGTAATCTGACAACAAAGCTTTGTGATAAACGTAATGACTTTAATATTTCAATCGTCAATTTCCATTACTTATGCAGCAATATACCTTTATTCCCTGCATAATAGGTTTATTTGATAGGTAATAGCATACTCTACATTTGAACAATATCTTAAACGAGGTAAATTATTGACAGACAAGTTGATGAAACAAGAATATCACCAGTCGTACGTTAACGTATACATTTCGTGACTTCTATGGCTTGTACAATGACCTTGTCAGCAGGTACAATCTATCATTTAGTCAAATGATGACTGATGTTTATAACACTAATTTTTAGACTATTATTTAAATTCTGGGTTGTCGACGGATTTTCCCGTAATTTCCCGATCGTTGCGGGGAGTACACAGGGGATAATCATTCCTCGAAGGCCCCTGATCCCGCCTCTGATATCTTAGATGTCCGTGTCTGCTCTGCTCCTGGTTTGTATTCTTTGAATAAACTTTTGGGTTTGAATACTGTTCATAAACTCCACGTTTTTCTTGTAATAAACGCTGAAATGTGATTTTAAAGAATTCCATTGTTGGAAAATGAGTTGAATGTGAGTATTAGTTGGATTACCAGACGTAGAATTAATACTTCTTAAAAGAGTTATAATAATTGGACCAACAAATGAAAAACTGATAGATATAAACAGTGCTCGATCTAAAAAAAAATCTATAAATAATACAAATCTGATAAAATTGGGTAAAACACGGACCCCTTGACATTCCAGAGGTGGGATCAAGTAAGAAGTAGGAGTAAACATCCCCAGTCGACTGGTCACACCCGCCGTGAACCATACGTATTTAACAAACAAATAAACAAAGGCATTTTTGTTACAAGCCTTCTCTGCTGGACCCTTACCTTTTATTCATGTAATATTTTTGATTTTTTTAATCTGCATTGTGATCAATCAGACATTGCGTTATATATATCAGGAAGTTAGTGAAATCATGCCATGTGGACGTTCTTTAAATTCTTAAAATGTATCACGCTGCAGATCTTACATTGATGAGTAATTTTGTAAAAGTGGATTTCATTCCAAAATAAATGAAAAGATATGAAAAGGTGGGTATGCTTATCTTTTTACCAATGCAATCCTAAACTGCATTAGAAATCAATATTTTGTTATCGGTTCTTGTTCACAGGACTATAGATGGCAAATAAAAAAGATAACAAAGTCATATGACCATACACAAGCGTATACCTTTTCCGGAAGTGTTTAATATAGAAATATGACGAAACTTGAAGATTTCGGCAGAATGTGTCTTATGTTTCTTTTGTTATTACTGTTAATGCTGGGATACTCAGGTAAGATAGTAGTGCTTACATGCTGGCAATGGTGTTTATAGTTAATTTATTTTTTACAGTCTTCAATTCAATTCAATTGACTCGATTTTTAACGTTTCGAGGGTAGTACTTGTATCCTCCATTTACACTGAGGCTTACACCGAGTTTTTTTTTCGTTTGTTTTGTTTTGGTGATAAAATATACCATGCATTGGCAAAAGTTGTCAGAATATGAGTTGAAGAAGAATTTTTAGCTCACCTTACCTAGACGGGTACCCTTTGTTTAGTCTCTGCCTATCTGTTTGCCTGTTCTTTTTTTTTTACATAGTTTACCTAGTAAACTTCATTGTGTGTCTTGAACTACGTATATTGTAGAAGCTATAATATGCTACCAATGTGCCGATTCCAAGGCTTTCGGAGACTGCCAGTCTAACATGGACCTGTTTAGGAAGTCTGTGATGACGTACCTGGAGGCCAATGAAACTATTGGCGGGGGACAGGACAGAGGTTACCTAAAAAACTGCACATCTACCTGGGGAGACTACTGTGTCATAGAAAATTACCAAGAAAGAGGTAATAATAAATAGTAAATGATAATTAAACAAAGATATGATAAGGATTATACAATATTTATATTTTTGACACTTTCAAGAAAGGGAAATTCTAATCATTAAATGTATATTTAAATGATCAAACCATCATTCTATGTAGATATTAAATAATTATCATTTCTAATATATAAACGTACTTAGGCATTTTTGCTTATTTTGCAGTGACAGGTGAGTGAACACAGGAAAAAAGATCAGTTGAGGGAAGTCCATTTTGAAATTACAATTGTATTCAAGTGGATCTTTTTATCATTTTGTCAGATGATGCCTTAAAGATTACATTCTGGATTTTGTATCAGATGAAAAATAAGCTTTAACTTGCTCCCACAACCTATTTCTCGCAATAGGCTGATAATTAATAAAATTTAAAGTTCGTTCTTTAAGTGAAGACTTAAATATGCACTTAAAAATTTTACCAAACATTTATTGTAGGTGAAACGTTTTCCTTTATTCGAGGGTGTTCTGAAGGACAAAACGACATATCAGTGAAAGGATTTCGAAAATTTTCCACCGACAACCAGACGAGTTGCACGTACTATCCGGACTCGCAGGACCATCTCCTTGCTTGTGTCACGTGGTGCAATACCAGCTTCTGTAACGGTCCCATACTAATGTCTGAAGAAGAGGTGAACAAACTAGCGGTAGAAATTAACACCAGTTGTCGTCCACTGTTGAATACAATACTAATAATGATTCATTTACTGACAATAGCAATACATAGATATATGTGACTCGCATTTGTTTAAATCACCACTGTACTGGAATCTCTAAATAATATTTCATCAACTTGCCTATGAAAGTAGTGTTTTAACCTAATTGCAAAATGAGATAAAATTTATGGAAATAACTTAATTAACAAATCAATTGTAATAGATGTCAAATTTCTGTGAATTTCAAAAAATTAACAAATCATGCCAAGGCTACTTCAAATATAAACCTCTCATTTTGAAATACATGCTTACTTACAAAATCGAAAGTTCCAACTGTTAAGATGCAAATTCACAGAAAAGGATACTGTAACTTATTCAACTTTTATAAAGTTAAATAATTTCATAAGTAATTTATTTTAATTGAATCTTCATAATCTGTTTACTTTTTGATAAATAATTTGTCAGTCTTTAGCTGCTTGTCGATAATTGTAACAATGATAAAGCGACCAATATTTGTCACATTCAAGTTGAACACGGCAAACTCTTACAAAGGTGTTTCCTTTGCATTTTTACTCAGCCAGTCAAAGGTTTTAATGACGTCACCATGAGCATATTGCACGAGCTTTTTTCCATCGTCGGTTTGACAGTATGTGCAGTGATGGGGTCTCCGGGAACGCGTTTTCAAAAACAAGTCCGGATGATCCAGCTCAAAAGGTGTCGGACTTTCGAGCTGTGATTTCGGGGTGTCACATAAACTACAACAGCTACAGTATGTTGGTGTTCTAGTAGGTTTCATGTTTGTTGATGGCCGCACAGTTGACGGACGCCTCGGTGAAGAAATACAAACTCCAGGCAAAAGTAAATCAATCTCATCCAAACTTTGTTCGATTTCCCTTTTTTCATATATTGGAAATTTTTCTGGTGAACGAGCGGATTGAACTTCAGTAATGGTCTCTGTGTTGCAAGCCTTTCTTCTCCTAGGAGCACTAGAAGAATTATAAGTGAACAATGAATTAAAACCTGAGCCGGATCGCTCAAGTTTTGAAGTGACTGGAGATTCCCGAAATGAAGTCCCACTCGAAACTGAACGTTTTATCGATGGCTTTTCCAAAGCCATCATCGACTGAGATTTTCTCAGTAACACATTTCGTTTTGTTAATAAATCACAAGGATCATAATTATTATTTCGTAAATCATCCTCGAAGTCATCGTTGAATGTATCGTAAACAGGTAACATATCACCTATAATGTTGGAGCCTATGTGAGCTGTAGTCTTTTGTTTCTGTCTTTGTCTGTCGCTCTCAAATATTTCATCTTCTTGGAGAACATCCTTTGGTTTACTTTTCACCCTAATAAAAGCGTGCTGACGACGAAGATTTGGTTTCCGATCAGCGCTTCTTTCTAGAGTTCGACTGTACTCCGACATTGTTTTTCTGTTACTTGAATCCAAAGTAGCAAAAAACGAAGCTGAAATTAAATCAGGAATGGGCTTAACTTTGCACTATTAAAATCAAAAATGCACAAAGGAGAAAGAAATTTGACTGAAAATGGCATATGTACAAATATACCTGAATAGAGCACTGAAAAGCCAATTACAACCCTTTTTTGATATGATGTAATCCTCACGAAATGTAAATTTACTGCATGTCTTAAAACTTTGTAATAATTCTTAAGAAAGAGTTCAATTTGCATAGATATAAGAGAAATATTACCTGCTGGTTTTTCTGACGGCAGAAAAAATGGCACCTGAGTTGCTTCATCGTCCATTCCTGGAACTTTGGCGCCTTTTGGTACCGGTCTTGCTCTAGCATATCGGTTCTGCATTTTAATCACTTTTTTGGACCTGGCTGCAGTACTAGTGTATGGTACGCTATTCTTTGGGGGTTTGGTCAAATCCTTAACTTTTTGTCCCGTTGCCTTCTCTATCTGTATATTGGTAAATATAAAAAATTAAGACAATGATTAAAAGTAGTCATACTTCTATGTGGTATGTATAATAATTGAAGCAAGTAAACCTTTTTGGTTGTTAAAGTCTATTACATACTAAGAACCTTATGAGGTAACTATTAATAGCAGATTAAGCATTAAAGGTGGCACACTGTAGATACTTAAGTGCAACTAAAAATTAGACTTAAAAAAGATTTCTATAAAAGCAAACATTTAAATATTGCTATAAAAATTCCATGTATCAAGTAAATATTTCTTTAATAAACTGACGATTTTAAGGACCTATCCCTAGATTATTTAGGTTATCCAAACTAAGCATCATATATCAAGCGAATTATGAAACATTGAATTTTTAAAAAATAATAATTTTGTACTATTTTCGTGAGGGGACACAATTGACCATACACGTCAAAACTGTTTCAAGTACTCCAAGCTACCTTATAAAACATTAAAAACCATGAAATGAAAATTATTGTACGATTTTTTTTCATTTACAAGCCTCAGTTGGAGTATGTTTAAAGTAGGCTGTGATTAAATGAGTTACTGTTCTCGGCTACGATTGGACAACCTTAAGATAGTCCTTCGTATGTTTTGGAGAGATGGGGTTTTGTTATATAATACAATAATTTACATAAATTAGAGCATAAACCAGAATTTGATTTCATATTGGGTTTGTCGTTTCCTTTAATATACTTTAAATTTTCGAACACTCTGTATTACCAGATTTGCTGCATTTATTCTCAAATAAATTATACATGAAGGATATGTAGATAACAAACAGTATTCAATACCAAGTTCATAAAACAGTACAAAATAGGAGCAGGGCAAACACGGACCTCCAAAACATCAGAGGTGGGGTCAGGTGCCATGGAGGAGTAAGCATCCCCTGCCGACTGATCACACCCGCTGTGTGCTCCTTGTCATGATCGGGAAATAATGGAAAAATCCGTCGTCAAATCAATGTATAAATAATGGACTAACAATAAGTATGAAAAACGTCAGTCAACATTTGACTCAATGATAAATTGTATTTGCTGAAAAGTTCATTCTATGATCATAGAACTTACGAAATGATGAATTTAAACGGGAATGCTGGTTTCATCAACTTGTTTGTCAATAATTTACCTCGTTTCAGAAATTGTTCATACGTATAGCTTGATCTTGTGTATCGAATCAACTGAGATATATAAACAAAACACGTGAATAATTTTTTTTTCAAGATTTATAAATGTTACATGTAAAATGACGATTTAAAAAAATCAAAAACCATACACATTTTGGGATAACGTATATTTTCTCTATTCCCACAAAACTTTGCGACAAAGTCCTTGATTGAAACGTTTAAACAAATAATAATCATCTTACTATGCGCACAAACGGTTTCTTCTCCTCCTCCTTAACTTGAGTGTCCTCTGTCCAGGCTTGAGATGCCGCCGATGGTGGCGTGGCCATTTTCCACTCTCACATGGCGGAGTTCTGAGTATTACCTACAATCATGGCATGCAATTCAGTTAAGACCTCCCATTTAATTATTATTCTCTGCTCAAGCCATTTTCTGCTTTCACTTTTCAATAAGGCAGCTTTTTTGTATACCTGTCTGTATCGCTTCTTTCGAGTTTCATTCTAAAGTTTGTGACGAGTTTAATATATACCCGGTATATGCGTTTCAAGGGTTTATGAATTATGTACTGAATGATCTAAATAAATGTACAGCTGCCCAAGTTTAATATAGAAAAATAGACCCCGTAATAAACAAATACAGACGTCTTTCAAGTGTAGTAATGAATTGACAAAAACAGATTGTTGGTAAGAAGTTCCCATAATATTTGAGATCGGGAGATGGCCAATACACAAGAGGAACAATATCGAGACAAGTATCGCCCACCCCCCGAAGACAGCATTTAACACTTGTAATGGCTCACAGATCTCCTATTGTCTGGTATACGAACAACGATTAGTCTGTCAGTTAACCATATCATCGCCTGTTTATCAGTGTTTGAATGGTGATGTTAAAAGATAATTCTTCTGCAATTGCCGTTGGATTTCATTTCTTTTTTCCACGCCAACCTCTCTCTGTTTACCATAATAAAGTGTTTATTATTCATTTTTATTACCGATAATTGATCTTGTTAACCTTTTAACGCTAAATTTTTGTTCTTACCTCAGTACATAAATGAATTTTTCTTGATTACTCCATAAAACAAATAAATCCTCAAAATTGTATATAAGAATAACAATTTTTCTGAGACAGAACTTTAGTCAGAAAATGGCCTAACATCCAAATTAGATAGAAACATGTGTATCCTCTAATTAAATAAAACACAAATCCTGGTCATTAATATTAGCCGCCACACAATGCGACCCTCTAATACACCAGCGGTCACAATCAACTATTTGTTCAATTGAAGAAAGAAAATTCAAGACTTGTACTGATCGGATATAAAATCAGAAAAAGATTAATCTGGTAGTTTAAATCAGATGTTCATTATTTAACTGTTTGATAGTTGTATTATAGCAGGGGGATTAATTTGTAGCATAATGGATGTATGTTGAACGTATGTGTTTAGAGTATTGTCAACACTTGACGTTCTATAATGTACAAGCATTAACTTATTTTTATGTTTCGCTATTTTCCCTACCGCGAAGTCTCAAATACAGGATTATGGATAAATTTATATCCATTTCAGTTATGGTTACTTTTCGAATTCAGTATGATAAATGCGCACCTGTGTTACATTGATATCTACTAGTTACTACTTTGTCCATAGACTAAGAACTGATAGATGAAAAAAGGTCAAGTAATGCAGATCTCGCTCTTTTTACTTTCGAAGTTTTTTTGCATAATATTGATAGCATATCACTATTTTTTTTCATCTAAATCCATTTAAATTCTTTTCATTTATTGATATTTTGATTGGATATAACCACCTAACGACCAGTATTTAAAAATCTGTTAATCGTCAAAACATTATGTAATAATTTTAATCCTGATAATACCTCCTCATAAATACTTTAATGAAAGGAGACGAGAATAAGATTAAGAAAGCTATAAGTGGTTGGTGCGATATTGCATTTAGTTCATGACTACAGTCGTTAGATGAAATTGCCATTCGATGTTCTAAATGATCAAGACACCTTTTGAATATTCCTTTCAGGTTTCTTTTGAAAACCAGGCAATTGCACAAGCATTACCATGCCGTTCATCTATGCTGAATGTATGGAGTTGAAAAGTGTTGAATTTCAGAAATATATCGTGTTGCTAGAGGTAGTCTTAAATTATCCCTACATAAGTAGAATCTGAAAACTCATTTTTTTATCAAAGATATTTCTGAAATACAGAATATCTTTCACATTTAATGTAATTATATTTTTTATAAAGTACAAAACTACACTTTTTTCTTCATCGTTTTATTTAATTAAAAAAGAGAAAATAGAGGAGAGC